TCTCAAGTAGTCGTCCAAGCACAGAATAGTTGAAGACCATACCTCATCTTGACTTCAACTCTAGCTCCTCTCCCACCTAACACCTATCTACTGCTGCTGCTAATGATCTACTTACACATACCATAAGCAGAGAAGAAGAATAAAGAGGGTCAGCTCATAGCTGAGTGAGATAATCATAGCATCGTGAGTTCATAACAGAGCATACCCCTACCATACATCTAGCAAACAAGCCAAAACACTAGGATGAGACCTCAGGCATCCGACATCCCAATAGGCAAAAGACTCAACCACCTTGACTTATGCATATGCATCTTATCATGTTTTAATCATAGGTGTCTGGCTACTCCCATGCTAATTACTCTCCCGGGAATACGGACCAAACATCTCGTGGATGTGGTCATATCGGACCCACCACTGCCGGTGTAGTCATATCGGACCTGACACCACTCTGGGTGTGGTCATATCGGACTCACCACCACTTTGGGTGTGGTCATATCTCATGATGAATCAACGGTCAACACCACATAAGGGGAGTGACATAACATATCATAACGGAGTAATAGCATGGGGAGCCCTAATTACTATGTAATTGACCATGAGACCAAATCACTCTTATTTGGTAATCTTATACATGATCCATATCTCATCTTGCTTATTCATAATTCGTTACTTGCACATGTACTTGACCTGACCATAATTGGCTCAACATAGGTAAACCAGGAGTCGTATAGTTGCACTTCCTCGGGATAAACCCTCGTGCAAGTCATCCTCCTTAAAACATCAAATAATCACCATGGGATATATGTTTTCCCACTTGTACATTCAAATACATCAATCATGAAAAATCATACCCAATCACCTTCTCCAACCATCATAAGGCATATCAACAGTCAAGCCCACAATTTGCAACATATACACAATCATCAGCATAAGCCAGGGCCATATCGATAAGGGCAAGTCAATAATATCATACAGCAATCCAGGGTTCAACATATAGCACAAACGTTCATACACCCCCTAATCATGCCATTCTAGATCACCTAGGTCAATTCTAAGCATCAATGTAATTATCGTGGTACGACAAACCCGGTATGCCGTGCTAATCCCTCACCAGTTCTGGTCGTTCAAACACCGGTTTAACCTTCCCGTACTAAAACGTCAATTTCACGAACGAACCCCGAATTAAAATCCGGGACCGTCCTAATATCCCCTGTAGTATCCCCGTCAATATTAGCTCTAGGCTCCGGGTCAAATTCTCGATAAAAACACATCAAACCCTGGCCGGAACTAAATTCAGCGATTCCGGCTCCTACCTAAATAATAGCCGAAATTCATGAATTAGAACTAGAGGATTGATTACCTCGCTGCAGGAAGCTCGTATATGAAATCTGGACTTAATTCGTCCTCCGAATCCTCCAAACCTCCCAATTCCTTCGATCGGAAAACCAAGAAATTTTTATCCAAAACTTAGATATAAGCCCAGAGATTGAAGAACTAGGTTGGATAGAAGTGTACCTGTCGATTGTGTAATTTTCCTACAGCCAAAACCCTAGAAATTACCTTCGCTGAAATCTCCCGAACCTCCCCTGCGCGCTCTGTATTTTGTTCCCTCGGACCGGAAATGGAAATCATGACGATGGGGAAAAGAAATGGATCAGGGGGACTATATATATAATGCGGCGGCCGCTTATTGTTTTTTTTATATTAATTATAATATATATATATATAATTAATTAATACGTATACTTATCCGATCGATCGATAATCCAATTTTCGTCGAAATATTATCAAAACGCTCGATTTTAAATCGTGAAATTTTCTAGCGCTCGAAATATGGGTTTAGCCGAAACGGGATGTTACATTGTCTATCGCTGAATTCGTTCAAATATCACTAAAGTGGTAGTTAGTTGTAAAGTTTATGTTTATAGGGCTATCACTATAGTGGTATATCTATCATTATAGTGGTAAATCCTTCAGTATAGTATATCATGACAGTTGTAGTTTTGTAAAAATTTCTTTCTTTGTAGGTCGAATTCGATTCAGCCACATAAATTGTCTATCACTGTAGTGGTAGATCTATCATTGCAGTGACATAGTGTGTCTATCACTGCAGTGGTAGATCTACCGCAGCAGTGGTAAATCTATTGCTGCAGAGGTAGATCTATCACTACAGTGACATAGTGTGTCTTTCGTTGCAGTGGTAGATATATCACTGTAGTGGTAGATCTCTTGTTGCAATGGTAGATCTATCACTATGGTGGATAGTTCGTTGTTATGTTTTTGTGTGTAGGGCCATCACTGTAGTGGTACTAACAAAATCATTATTGATCTCATATTTTATCACTAAATTGATAATTCTGATTATTGTGTGTACCAATGACAGTAGGAATGACAAGGACGAAGAGACTGTATCCTGCGGTTCCAACAGGGAAGAGACTTGCAAGCTATGTTTCTAGGGTAGAAGTAGGGGTAGGTCAGACTCCTTCTTCGAGTAAGGGTACCAGCAAGAAACAACGTCGTGAGAGCCGGGATAAGAACAACAAGATAGGGGAAGAGGAAACGTACCGATGATGTTAGGGCAAGAAGTACATCCCACAAACAATTTCTTAGTGACTTCAATAGTTGCATTTGCTGGATATTTTATAGTTGTTGGCATTTCCCTTTTTTTTATAACACATTGTACTGCACGGTTAGTGGTAATACTAATGAGAAGTTGCTTGTTTGTTTACGTATCAGATTGGTTGTACATGTATCAGTTCAGTGCTACATGTATCAGTGCACTGGTATGTGTATCAGTTCACTGGTATATATATTAGTTCAGTGATACATGTACCTTTTCAATGGCATAACTCCAAAGTATATCTAACACTACAATGGGAACATTTAGGATGAGTTTCAATTTTGCTAATGGTACAAGTAGAAAAGTATGACTTGAATAATTGCACTGGTACTTGTATCAGCCTAGTGGTACATGTACCACTTCAGTGATACATGTATCAGTACAATGGTATATGTACCACAACAGTGGTACATATTCACGGCAGTGTCATCGTCATGGAAATATTGTGGTCTCCACCGCTTTTGAAGTTTGGAATTGATTTTATTATTTTTCTTTTGTCGTAATTATTGGTTAACTTCTTTCAATGTCATGAAAATATCTTTGCCGACGAGTAATGACATAGAAATGGTTTTCGCACAACTTCAGCGGTAATCATACTACTTCAGTGGTACAATATACCACTGAACTTGTACTATACCACTAGACTGGTATACATATCAATTAACTGGTACTTATACCACTGAACTGGTACTAATTAATATTGTCCTCAATATACCAGTACTCATACTTACTTGATCATGAAATATAATTCTGGCACAAGCAACACAATAAACATTTCAATCGGTCAACAAAATAAGAACTTTCCATTAGTAGCCAAAAACTGTGTTCCAAAATGGGTTGCAAAATCAGGGAAATGCCAACAACAATGCCAAAAGCAATAAATTATCCTTCGAATGTGAATAAACATAAAGTCTTCACAATTTTTTTAAGCATAAACAGGAGATATGGTTACTAGTATCACTCCACTGGTACATGTACCACTCCATTGGTGCGTTTCCTCTGCCGCCTAGTGGTACCACCCTCACCTTCAGATCCTGTCGCCGCCACTCAGGGTTGATCGAATCTCTACCGTGGAAGGACGGTGGTCAATAGGAAAAGATCAAGAGCATGTCGTGGATAAGAGGAAGTCGTTGGAAGGTGATGTTTGGGATGGAAGACGGAGGACGGTCGACGGACGACAACATGGATGGTTGGACCTGTTGTAAGGGCGGCGGGGATATCCCCTGCGTGTCTTCCTCCTTCGACGAGCAACCCACCAGGCGGGTCGGAGGATATCCCACTGCGACGCTGCCCGATGTTTCCGATCGCCGTCGAGTTTTGCAGAGTAGAGAGTCTGATTGCTATTTGGAGAAAATATGGGGAATATTGGACTTGGAAGAGCAATCGACGCTTTCCCCATCCAACAAGATTGCTCCTTCCCAATTAGTTTTTAATTATTATTGAGAACTTTCCCAAATTACAAGATTATGAAAAAAATACAAAAACAGCTGTAATTAATAATTGTCAAATGATTGAGAAAAAAACTGACCAATGAGAAAGGGGGTGTCAAAAATCAGACCCCTTTGGGGATAGGCATAGTATCCGACCCCAATATCCCATCACTACGGTGGTTATTTATTTCCGGCCGCTATGTATTCAAACTTGGCTAGCGATTTTGTGGATGATAAATTGATAATTGAATGTAACATTGAATGATAAAAACAAAAGTAATTAACATTTTGACTTCCAATTCTATTGATGTATCCAACGTTGACATTGGAAACGGGAGCCTATTTATAAGTTCTCTTTGAAATTCCCATTGTCCATTCCATTAATTAGATACGAAGTACCGAGAGACCTTACACCTATTTTTACAGAAAAATGTCTCAACCTTATTAATAAATAAAAAAACACGTTTAACCTTAAAATTGAAAAGTAAAAGTAGGATTCAAATGATTCCGAATTACCTGGTATAGTAAATGGGTATTTATGTACACATACATATTTAGCAAGTTTGAATTCAGTTCAGTAAAATGAATCACCATCTCATTTGTATCCAATCCTTCTCGGATAAGATTATCCATCCCAATCCAAAACCGGCAACATTTTACAAAGTGATTATCATGATCATACATCTCTCTCCATCTTTCATTCCCTCTGAACAACAAAGAAACCAACCATAAGAAACTTTCCCTTACTCAACACCTTTTTTTTTCTTCTCCCCTTTCCAGTCCACCTAAAACATGGATTATTATCCCATGAACACAATTACATTTCCAGCCATAACCCTAACCCTAACCCTAATCATCTCCCTCTTCCACCTCTCCACTTCCCAATCCCCAAACCTCGTCCAAGACATCTGCCAGCAAGCCGCCCAGTTCCCTCCGACAAAATCCGAGGAATGCTTAGCCACGTTCGCCTCCAACAACCTTGGCTCGCCGCCGTCCGCCGATCTCAACGGCCTGGCCCAGATCACCCTCAAATCCGGCATCGCCAATGCCACGGAGGCGCGCAAATACGTCGAGGGCCTCGTGGCGGGGCCCGATGTGGGCCCCGCATTGAAGGAGGCCCTCATGAACTGCTCGTCGTGGTTCTCGGCCGCGGCGGACTCGTTCAACAGCGCGCTGATGGAGCTCGACGAGGATCTGCAGTCGGCCAATTACGACGCGAAGATCGCCGGCGACGACGCGAGGAACTGCCGCGGGATGATGGCGGCCGGGAAGGTGTCGGAGCCGTCGGTGGAGGTTAGGGTTGGGTACGTGGTTTTGTATAGTAATATTGCGGATGCTATTACGGACAGCCTGTATAAGAAGTCTCTGAATTTGTAAGAAATGGGTAATTAATTATTATGTACGTACCAGGCAATGATATGAAATAAAATAAACATCTATGCATATATTCTCGTTATTGTTACGATTATTAGTATTGTATGAGAATTGGTTTGCAAGAAGTCTTGGCGCAGTTAGAGGAGCTTCTTACCATACCTAATTTCTATCCTTTAAAAAATAAATTTCTATATATCATACTCAAATCCTATTGCAATCCCATTCTCCATCGTTGTCAACACCTCCATCACCCTCTCTCTCCCTACACCACCGTCACTGATAATTCCCTTCCTCCGCTCCCGGCCACCCTCTCGGAGTCAGCCCCCCTCAGGCCCTCACCCTCTCTCTCTCTCTCTCTCTCTCTCTCTCTCTCTAAGATGGCTGGGAAGGGTGAGCTGGTGATGGTGACGACTGGTAGTAGAATCAAGAATTGAATGGGCTCTCCTCAGAAATTATATTGTTTTGTTTTAAGAAATGCAATTGTTTTGTTTTTCACCACGATATTGATTTATTTATAAAATGCTATTTTTTGTGTGTGTTTATAGTAGTAGTGATATTGGTTGATTTTGATATTGGTTTGACTCTTGTTAAGGTATAAATTGTTTATATTGGTAGTTACGTTTTTGTCGTGTACTAGTGCTATTTTAGTAATGGTATTGATTTTATACGGGTATTGAATAATATTGTGATGATATTTGACTTTAATGTAATGATACTATTTTTTGTGTGTGTTTTTAATCATTTGGGATTTGTTAAATCTGAAATAGTATTGATTTTGTCTAGGCTGTTATAGTTTTTTCATATTGATATTGATTTTTCTTGGATTGATATTGATTTCCTATTATATTTTTGCAGTGGTATTAGTTCGGCTGAACAGAGACAAAAAAAAAGATCGAGAAAAAGAAGGAAGAGAGATCTACCTGGAAATGACGAAAGTGAGAGTAATTAATTAATATATTTTAGTAACTTTCTAAAATTTGATTTAGTAAAAATAATTATTAATAAATATTTTGTTTCATACCCAAATTGCCTTTAGTAGCCATGGTGATTACTACTTCGTAATGTCGTAGTAATCATCATAAACCTCCCTTATAATTTCCCCTACTTATGGAAATTTGAATTAATTTTGAGAATTTAATTCATTTTCTTTAATTTTTCTTTTTGGAATTTGAATGGTTTTAATTAATCCCCCATAATCACTTACCTGAATAATTTGGGTGATTATTGCATTGAAACCTTTTGAAATTATTACCGTCCTAACTGTATTTACAACTTTTATAACTAGCTTATAACTCGGCCCGTTGGCCGATTAACATTATGCATGTTCATATTTGATTGTTTATATTCATTAGAAACACGGTCCATTAATGAAACAAATCATAGAATCCAACACTGGACCATAAGTGCATTCGATCTGGTGGATCCGATGAAGTTCGATTGAAATGTCCCATCAGAACATTTTTCTTTTGAACTTGTATGATTGGTAGGATGAAGGTCCAAGACATATTAGATTCAAGTCGATATGGTCTTGGTCAAAGCTGTGTTGCGTCCAGTGTGGTTTGGGGTTGACCATCAAAGTTTGAGAGCAAATAAAAAAATTAGAGTTACATCCAATATACTAATAGACTCCATCAAAGTAATGAGGCACAAAATTAGACACTCCTTATCTACAGGTTCCAGTAGTTTGAATAGTGAATCGACCTTAACTTTAGTAAATCAATCAATGATTCCTTTTTTTTTTGGTAGAATCAATGATTCCTTATTTTAACATAAACATAGGTTGTGGTAGTTGCAACAACCATAACACCTAAAGATCCAATAGTTCCACTCTCCGTTGTACAACCAACTTTTTATCCCTCCATCTTCAATCTCTCGACGTATATGTTTTAAACCAAAATTCAATTTCTAATTCTCCTTCTGCAACTCTGTTTATGCTACTTTGATGGACCTTCTCTCCATGAACCTGAATTTCTCTATCAATTGAGTTTCTTGTCAGCTTGATCTCCAACTCCTCAATCCTCTTTCTTGTATTTGGCGAACTCATCTACCTCGAGACAGTTTTAATAAGCTCGTAAAACCAACACTCATCTTCAATTCCATCAATATGCTCTTCTCCTCCTTCTCTGCCTTCACTTGATCCAGTTCACTTCCATGTCCTTTAATACCCTCCCCATTTTCATTAATATCCTGATCATCTACCACTTCTCTCTCTTCAACTACTTCGATTTTGCTTCTATGTCTTTCAATATCCTCCTTGTTTCAATCACTACCCTGGCCAACTGCCTCTTCACTGCTTTCACTTGCTGCAAACTACTAAATTGACTTTTTATACACCTTCCTCAAAATCACAATCAACTAACCAATATCAATCTATGGCCTTGGATCAGTTTTATACTCTCTATGAACATCTCAATACCACAAAGTCTAAATCTAAATATTCTTTCAGTTAATCATGAACTTGAGTTTATCAAAATTTAATCCACTCCTTCTAAGTTGGAATTCCCATCCCCCAAGCTCATTTTTGGTTCATTAGATCCCACATAACCATGATATTATACCTCTAACTAAAATAAATCAAAGCACTTTACGAAAAGAAATCGAACCATGAACTTTACCTGCTACCAAATCAAAACACAATTTCTTCCTCTCACCACTTCCCTTCCCAAACCCAATATCAACTTTTACTCCAAGTGTGTTGCGTGAAAGCTTAATTTTAGCAATCATTATGCTTGCAATTAGATTAATGGACACCACCAAGTGCCAAAATTCCACCAGACGATGAGTTGTCTTCACTTTGAGTTTTGTCATAAAACTGCTGGTCCGATATGTTTATTAGTTTGGAGGCCATATGATGAGCAATACCGAATCAGTTGCAGTGAAGTTACCGGTCACAGTAATGACAATGTGAAACATGTATTAACAAATGCGTATATGAGTTACTTTTATGGATTGACATTAGAATGATGGGATTGGAAAATGAGATCGTCCTTAGGTAAGCGACATGTAAATTGGTTCATTTGGTATGGAGGACACAAACCGTTAAAATTCTAAATTATTTGGGTGAGTTTGTATTTTGTGTTTTCAAAATCGTGGTATATGAGTTAGGTGATTTAAATATCTAAACCCAAACGGATCGACCCACGCACACCCCTAGGAAGAGTTTCAAAACTTAGTATTTAACCGAACAAAAATGTTCAGAGAACCAGTCCCCTATAGTTTGCACAAAGATATGATTGCTTCACTATAGTTCTGGAAATTAATGGTAATTTAAGAATTCTATATCGCTTCTACATATTCAATACTATAATTAGATATGAAATATTCGAACCAACAATATTTTGGTTGCAAATTTATGGTTATCATCTATTTATAAGATAGATAAAATTTTAAATTAAGTATTATACTATAATTAAAATAAAAAATATCAAAATCGAAGTATCAAAACACCAAAAAGTAGTTACGAAATATTTATTGGGCTAGCTAACTGTTGAAAAGTTCTGTGATTTCATATTTTAACTTCGTATATATTTTTAATTTAAAAAAATACAACAAATCTACATAGTCTGATTGATTTTAAACCTTCACTTTGTTTGAAGTGACCATGGTTCAAATCACAATATGTCTATCTTTTTCTGTAAATAAATAACAAATACACATAATTGTGAAGACAAAAATGTCTTTACTAATTTCCCTCTCATTGCAGGAAATTTGAAAAGGGAGATTAAGTTTCAAATAATTAAATCATATACCCTAAATCTATAGAACTTAAACCCTAATATCACATATACTAAGAACATAATCAGTGATCCTGATTCGCTAAGATGTATACAACATACCATATATATGCACTATATTAAGATTTAGAGAATTATGATAGGTTGAGTTACGTGATTAATCTATGGTCTAGATAATTTTATTTAACTAAGGAGAAGCAATAACCCTCAATCCATCGAGCACACCATAGAATTTCCAATGTATATACACATACCATTGTTTGTTAAATTTAGCTAATGATAATTGGCTCATTTGTCAATGGTATTTAGTCTTTCAATTTTGTGCTTATAATTGTCAATCATTAGGGAAATTGTTAGCCAATGATTTTTGGTCATCACTTATAGCATTGAAAATGTCTCGTTACAAAACCATATATCACAAATGTCAAATTTTATGTTTTGAAATAGAATTTCGTATAGCACTTTTATAAACAATCATTGTATTCCTACAAACTGCAAAGTCATGTAACCTAATAAATGTAAAAGTTGTAAGACATACATAAACTCAAAATGTACTATTCGATTCTTGGTGAAGAATTGTGTGATCAAAGGAACTCACTTTGTAAATAATTACAGTTATTAAGTAATTCGATGATTGATTGTTGCAGTGGGTAGTAGTATGTTTTTGAGATATTTCAGCATTTTCTCTCTTTAATTCAAAAAAATACATAAACATTGTTGTAGTTCAGTTGGTTAGGGATATTGACTATCAATCTGAAGGACTCGAGTTGAAGTCTTGGTAATGACATTTTTTTCTCGTAAGAAGATATTTAAGTTCTAAGTTGAACTTACAAATTTACCACTAGCTACAATTAAGGAGAGTGCAAGGAATTTGAAATGCTCAAAATCTCCTGAAGAACGGCTATATATTATAGAGGGATTCGCCAGAGGTTGGCTCTCGTGGTCAGCCCCTGAAAGGAGATCACCAAAATTCGGTAGTCTGCATGTGGGAACTAGGCGTGGTTCTCACTCGCTTGGGGAATGGTTATTATGAATCAAGGAGGGAGGGCCCTCTTGGCTATGAGCGGTTTCTATGAAAAATCTTGTGATGAGTAATCATGAGTAACCCAATCACTCTCCGTCACATTAGCATATATTCTCTCCTGTAAAGTTTTAATTTTTCCCCTTTAATCTTAACGGACAATTTTTCA